CTGGTTTATGAGTGGTGAATCCGTCGAAAAACCGCGATGGACTCGAGACACTTCTCTCGGGTAAGCCTGGTTTTGGGTTACTACAACTGAGCTACATGGCATTACCCCTTGGTTTTATCCAAGTTACTTACAAAAAAGGTCAGGAAAGCAGTATTTAAAATAAACAATTATTAATGAATAGTTAAAAGTAGTGATTTGAATAGTTTGTGATCGGAAACACTTCGTTGTGTTCTGGCAACTATGCTTAACCATTAAGATTTATCAATAATATATAGACATATACATAATTTATTATAGGATCATACATTTAAGCATCTAATATATAATTTGTGAAAGCTGCTTTCAAAATATTTATGACATAATTTGCGGCTAGTTATGACCGACGACATGAGTGCATTCGGACATTGACTTAGTCATACCCTGTCACAATTTAATAACAATAATAGTAATACGCCCTCTATCAGCCAATCACATTCGAACTTACAGTATGCTCTCAAAGAATGTGGACTTTATGTAAAACTTGTTTTTTGGCTTATCGCATTTGCAGTGTAACTGCATGTGTTATATGGGCCTAGACCTATATTCAAATTGCAGTAATATCGTAAATTAAACGTTGCCTATTGAGTTATGTATATGCACTTAGTGTAGCCTTAATATTTATAGAATTCTTATGAATTATGGATTTTTTTTGTATTATCAATGACTACTTTTAATGAATACTTTGAACCACAATATTAACGGAATTTCATACTTTTTAATGGATAATGTATCAGGTTTTCATTGTAATTATTGCAAATATTCAGGCAAAAACACAGCCGCAAGTACAGACTCCTAAAATTTTTAGCATGTTTTTAAAAAATGGAAATATATTTCATTTGAATTGGATCGGTCTTCATATATTACCGTATAGTAACTTAGTAGATAATTTCAGTATCCGAATATCTTTATTTTTTAAGCTTTAAAAGATACCGGCGTGCTAACATGATACACATTTGTATAGATAGTATTACAGTAGCTTGGGTCTACAGAGACGAACATAATACCAAGGCATCACGTGACAGTCGATAAAATTGGTGTCATTAAGGGTTTACGTGGCTTAGGTTTAAAATGTTATTTATTGTGGTCATATTTACATGTTTCGTTGTAATTCACTTGTAGAGCCTAATACTGTTAACAAAATAAAATAACATAAAATTAATTGTTAATAATATTTTTGAATGTGGACATAAGTATCATTTGCATATATAACCGCCGATAGATCAATACACTCTTTACAAGCATCAATGACATGTAAGACCTACTTGTGTATGTAGCGTATTCTTCTAAGTTTTTAAAATGTAGGAGTTACCACTAGGAAACCAAATCAAAATCATTGTACACCCACCACGCCCCCCCCCCACCACACCCGTTATACTCCTAAACTGTTGGTCCTTAGGAGATCAGCTTTACCCACAGAACCAGAACCAATGGTTGACTAACACGTTAATATATCACATTTCTCTGCAACTAAATATGTGAATTCGTAATACTGTTTGTATAAAATGAATTTAAGAAATATTGTTATTACTATTGCTACCGCACGGCTACTGGTGCTGCTACTACTGATAATACTCATATGTGGATTCAAGTGGGAGGGCAGGGACACCCCTCATCCAAAATTGAAAATGAAATTGGACTAACACGTTAATATGCCACATTCTCTGCAACTAAATATGTGAATTCGTAATACTCTAAATTATTTTTATTTCGCGGATGATATTTCAAAAACTAGCTCAAATTTGCGCGGAAAACCACTGGAAATATAGGTACGCAAAATCGTAATTAGGCCAACTAATACATGGTTATATATTTATAGACAAATCAAATCCTAATTTTCAGAAAAATCTGTGCGGAAATCGGTCCTTATATTTCGAAAAGGCCTAATTTTGGCACGGAGGATATATTCCCTCGCAGGCCTTATTTTATAGTATGGTAGTCGTCTACTTAAAGCAATTAAATCCTCATTCCCTGGACTAATAACACATTATTAGAAACAAAAGCTAATTAAGGTATTTCATTTAAAGTAATTAAAGTGTAATAATTCAATTAATGACACTAACAAACACCTGGCACATATGACGTAATTATCTTTGTGTCTATGAGTCACCATCCACAAAACTAATAATGTGAAAATAACAGTAATCTACAGTCATTTGTATGTATGCTAGAAAATTCCACAGTGAAGGACAGCAATAGAACTTACTCGAGAACCACATTTAAAAAAATAATTTTTTATTATTTCTGTTAATTCGTTTACCATTTTAGGTTGCCTGGGAGTTATCTTTATTTTAGGTTGCCTGGGAGTTAACTTTATTTTAGGTTGCCTGGGAGTTAACTTTACTGTACGCTAAAGGTGTTTTAACGTACAGTTGAATATCTGCCTCTACTTTCAGCTAATTTCTGATATTCCAACTTCCTACATTAGCATCATGCTTTTCATTTTCAAACATTTTTTGGGAATTGTCATTTTTAATCACAACCACGTGAATAAATATCTCTAAGACTGTGAAAACTGTATGATGATCATTCTATATTTTTTTTAATGTTATTTCTGACGGTACGGTTCCGAATAATGAGCTCCGTCGAAAAGTCTTATCTGTTTTGACCGGTAATGATGATGGACAGATGATGTAAAAATAATGCACTTAAAATTTTTTAGAGTATATGAATAAGACACTTGAACAATAAAGGAGATCAAACACTTAACGTGTAGTGGCTTTTAACAAAAACACTATAGGCTACTGTAGGTACACTCTCATGGAAATCGAAATACCAATAAGCAGGTCGTAGAGTAGTAGTGATTCTTTAAATAAGCGTTCTTTTAATGCGTCCAGAGAAAGTAAAAAATTACTCGAATTGAAAACTATTGGTGATTACCCCCAAAGACCTCAATCTGAAAAACTCAGTAAAACATCTGGCTGTCAGTTCTATAAATGGCTCAACATCACTACAACTAACATTTTTTTGTACATTATTATTGCAAATAATATTTAAAAATGTTATATTTTGTGTAATAGAAGGTACGCCTACGGATGCATGCTACCGTATTTCATTTTATATTATTATTAAACATCAATGACGACCATTCTTTTAAAGAGATGTACGCATACATATCTGAATAACTCAGCAACGTTTGGCTATCAGTTTTAAAAATTGAAAAACATCACTACTATTATCATTTTTTGTAAATTATTATTGTAAACGATTTTAAAAAATGTTATATTTTGTGTAATAGAAGGTACGTCTACGGAATATGTACGCTAACTTATTTCATTTTGTATTATTAAACATATATCAATGACGGCTATTCCTTTAAAATCAATGTACGCATACAGATTAGGTGAAAGTTAAAAATCAAACAAACAAACAAACAAATGGAGACGTAAAATACACGACCAGCATGAGTAACCAGTAGGAAAAGTCATTGGTTGAATGATAATAATTTTGTAATTCCTATGTCTTAAAACGTTACGTTTTATTATTTTTTTTTTATTACGAACGTATATTAGGCCTATGTTATGTACGCTCTCCACATATTATGTCAACCACACATGCCAATTGAGATGTCCGACGACCATATTGCTTGCTGAAACTTCAATAGTAGGCCTATATAGTTCAAATTTTTAATGCTACACACGGAAAGAAATCGCGACCTTTCAACAAAATTCCTAGTGACTCTGTTGGTTAAGACATCTCCATAAACAGAAGATTCAGGGTCAAAATCTAGGTTTGGTTGCAGATTCCTCTAGTTTAACGTTTAGAATTTATTATACAATTGAAATTACCGGTTTAGAGTTTATATCTCTACTTGTAACATTTCGTATATGAAAAGTATCTTCCATAGTGATCCTGTCTTGTCGTTTAAAATTCTTAAGAAGAGGGCGTACCATATTGATCTCTGTTGTATCCATGGCTCTGATCTCTGTTTCGCGCCGGTGCGCGGAGAACTATTGTTGTTTCCACATGTATAGAGTCTGAAATATTTTGCCTCCAATCGGATTTGAACTTCAAGGAAGACACGGTGGCCTAGCAGGTTAAGGTGTTTACATAGACAGCAGCACATCTTGGGATACTCGGAGATTATTCTTCATTAAATTTATATATTTAGTTCACATTGAAAATGATAAAAAGAGGAGTCAGCGTGTAGGCTTAGTATATGCCCCCGGTATTCAAACCCGGCCTCCTCTGTTGTAAGAAGATGCCTTAACCAACTTGCGTTTGTTGTACCCTCAATTCCTAACAACGGCGCCAACTTATATGAGGCTGATTATAATGGCGAATAGGCCTACTAACATGTAACAAATTGTTCGGGAGAAACGACACCTTCAGATTCAAAATATAAATTTGTACCGTTTTCACAGCAGTTGCTTAAATACATATTAGTGACAAAATATTAACCCACTTTATGCGAGTGACGCGTATAGCTTACACTATTAACGGTCAAAAATAGATAAACTCTTTGACAGTGTTGTCCAACTCGTGTCGTTTAGGACCATTTTTTACACACTAATGGATTACCATCCATCGCCATTTTTCAATCAATTCGAACAGTAGAATGTCGAAAGTGTCACATTTGTTGGTCATGTATCAATGACGCAAACTGATTCACACGATAGTTTGTATAATTTTTGCGCTAAAAATATACTTCCCAAAATAGTGCATCTTCTGGTACTCACGATTAAGGACTGATTTATCGTTTTAAATTATACTGTTTGTTAAGTTAATAAGATTGAAGAATGCAATGCACGCCAAATGTAAGCAGACAGTTAACGTGCGCACCAGTACTGTAACAGTCAATTCAAAACTTTTTGTACTAAAACGTCAGTGTAAAAAAATAATTTTTGAGTGTCTCAATAACAGTTGATAGTTAATTAATTATTGTTTTTAAGATGTTACCGTAACCACAGACAGTTATTATCCTTAATGTTTCCAAACCAACTACCAACTACATCCTTGCTTACCCTTCTGTGCTGATTCAAAACTGTCCTCTGGATTTTCTAGGTACAAAATTTCTGGTTGAAGTTCAAACCATAACATGCTACTTAAAGCTGCAGTTTCATTTATTGCAAACCTGAACGCTCTTTCTTCGATACTCATACCACCTTCTGGAAATAGTCCTCCTAAAAAACAAAATAAAAAACAGCAACAAGGTGACTTATGGGTTTTAATTTAAACATTTGATATTTAGTCCTTAGTATTTTAAATAAGTAGCTGTAGTAAAGCCCTGCTTAATGTGGTGACCAATTTCTACCCTTCGTGTTGAATTGTATAGTTCTATTTATCTTTTTTTTTTTTTTTTTTTTTTTTTTTTTTTTGGGAAAAAAGAAGAGGGGGGGGGGGGGGGGGGTGGGGGCTTGAATTCGTGGGCTTCATCTCGAGATTAAACTAACTGGGCTTCACACTCTCTTCCATTTTAATCTCTACCAATATTGCCCAAAGTGTTATTGTTGCTAAGATCCTACAGAATTACAGAGTAAACGCATGTAAGTGTATATTTTTGGGACATACGCGTATCCCTAGCCCTGTTCTGATTGATCAGTTGTTAAGTCTAATTAACGAATCAAAGACGTGTAATAAGCTTTGTTTCCATAGAATCACTACACATTCGCTAGAGCGTCTTCATTGCAATCCTTGCACTGCGTAGCTGTCCCGACGCAATCGGGAACGCTCCCTGAGGATTCAACTGACCAATCAGCGTCGCCAAAGGTGTCGGCGACAGAGTGTATACCGATTTTTATGGAAACCAGGCTATAGACTCTCTATTTTTATATTTTCTTAGAATACAAATCAAAACAACTTTTGCTACTGAAAACAAATAAACAATAAAGCCGAAATCTTAGTCTATAATCGCAAGTAGGCCTACGTTCCATCGCATTGACTAATTTTAGCTGATTGTCATGCGCACACTTGATGTATTTTACATGGCACAGGGCAACCAATTAGTACCACTATGGAATCTTGCATGCTGACACTAAATAAAATGTACAATCAATAATTCAGAGGGGTCGCAAGTAAGTCAGTGAGCCTATTAATTTTACCTAATCAAATTACGTAAATATTACAAGGGTTAATTAGAGTTTTGTGGAGAAGATAATCAGAGGTTTCTGTTCCCTTTTTATACCACTTTGTCTCCCTCTCTTTAACGTTAATTTCCATTTTTCCAACATCGGTCTTTCTTTCACCTATGATGGTCTTCGAACCACCATGGTTTGTCTACGTTTCTCCATAAGTCTTCGTCTCTTCAATACTGGTATGTATTTCTCTAATAATGGTGGACACTCTTTCTCCAATGGTGGTTACTCCTTCTCTCTAATAGACCTATCGGTTTCCATCTTTCCATATTCGTCTCTTTCTGCAAAATTGGTCTCCTGCCCCCCTCAGGGGCGGATCCAGAGATTTTCTGACGGTGCGGGGGGGGGGGGGGCACAATATGAAGTCCATGCCACCACGCCCACCTCCGCCCCACCATGGTTGGTGTAAATAAGTGGTAAACAATCGGGCTCTCCTTTTTCCCACTGATGGATCTCCACTGAACTCACGGGTTCACTCGCTTTTCCCCGCTTTCGTCTCTATAACTCAAATTTTTCTCCAAAGGTGGGGGGGGGGGGTTCATGGCCCTCATGGCCCCGCTAGATCCGCGCCTGGGCCTCTATCTTTCTAAGGTTGATTTTTGTCTCTTTCTCTAACTTCGGTCCCCGTCTGCCCAAGTCTGTCCTTTCTCTAACGTTGGTCCCGCCTCATATAGTGATGCTTTCTCTTAGTACAATTTTGATCTCCGTTTCTAGTCTCCTGGGTTGATCTTCGTTACTATAAACATTGGTCCCCGTCAGTCTAATGTTGTTCGTCTTTCCAAGAAAGACACTTTTTACTCCAATGTCGGTCTCCGTCTTTCAATTTACTTACAACACTCTGAAGTCCGTCTAATTTTGGTTTCTATTGATCCAACAACTGACTGTAATGAGCACTGCTGGTGATTATAGCCGACAATATTTAACGTTTTTTAAAATTTTTATCAGACTCAATACGTTTTAGCGGTTTCGACAGTTTCAACGATGAATTGAAATGAAACGGTTGAAAAGGTGTTATTAACAAAATGAAATGCGACATATAAATGTAATGGAATCACACGACTGGTTGACAATAATAGTGAAACACTCAAATGAAATGCCGCCACACTAAAAAATTCCAATATACAACACAGTCTATATAGGTACATCGTTTTTGATTGTAATAGTAAGGATTGAATGTCGATTTCTTTGTGTTTGACAAAATAGATTATGATTCACTAAGCTCGTTTAATCATGATCCTCAAATATCACAAGTTAATGAGTAACTGTAGTCGTTAAACTTAAATAATTATCTAATAGAAATGATAATGGTAAAATGCCGATAATAGTGTGCGTTACATATAAAGCAATTACTGAATAGCACATTTAGGCGAAATTAAAATCAGTTAAATTTCGGAATCACCATAATGATAAAATGATACTATCAACATGGCAGTAATAACTCGGTATAGAATAACTTGGGGATGTCTGCACACTGCTAATTTTATATGACGTCATACGGAACTTACGGTACTGTAAACAAATATACACAGTGATTGTCGTATCTCGTGTCTGTTTCATTAAAACACATTTACAGAAATTTACTTTGTGTTGGTGTTTTGATAACATTTTAATGACTGGAGACGGTGGGTATCCTCCGATATAAAAAAAACAAGAAAAAAGGTCTATAGCAGTAAATATTCGCTTTATATTCACTAATAATTGCTGGCGGCAATACAGACATTAGAAACAAAACTAAGATTGCATTTCAGTTTAATGAATGCTGACTGGATGAGCACTACCAAACAGTTAACGTAAAGGCTGTATAATTGCGTCATTATTTTAACAGTTTAATATATTTAGCCGCTGCATCAGTATCATATATATATATATATATATATATATAATTATGTTATTATTTATATATAACTTTGAATTATGGAACTTTCGTTGATGAGTAATGTTTGATACGATTCATAACATCATGTTCCTTTATTTACCGTATATATAACTTTGAATTATGGAGCTTTCGTTGATGAGTAATGTTTGATACGATTTATAACATCATGTTCCTATATATTTGAGCGCTGTATTATTATCTCCGTTTTACAAAAACGTACATTACAGCCTACTATATGAATACAAATAACATGTAGAACACAGACCTAATATAAAACTTATATCAATATTTATAATTGAATTTTATAATGGTGCTAACAGAGGAGTGATACTTAATATATCGAGACAAAATATGAAGGTTTACCAAAATTTTGAATCAGTCGACCAAGTTGCAAATCTAAAAGGTTAGAAAAACATTTGTAGTCCTATCAATCAAACACTTTTAACAATAAAAAAAAATTATACACCTAACGTATTACGGAAGCATTTGTATCAATCGAGCAAATTTGCAAATCCAAACGGTATCGAAATTCGAATCAATCGACAAAATTGAAAAATTCCTTAAATTACTGAAATAATTTATATGAACACAATAACGAGACTTGTTACCAGACATTATGCCGTCATGAAATGAGAACACAGTTAAGGAATATTATGCTAGAATTATATGATTTTTTATTTACTTTAATTCATTCATTCGATCTAAAACATTGGTAGGCTAAAAGAAAATAACGACCTTACTAAGTGTGGGTTACAGAATCTACATAACAAAACCTTGTTGATGAAAATATCAACACTACAACTGAACACGATGCTTTATCGTTATGGTCAAAAGTTCAACAAAATAAAATAACATTGAAAAATTGTAATAACAGCGATTATAATTCTCTACCTAAACACAATTTTAAAGCTAATGGAATAATAGACCATAGTCTGTTGTCTTATGTCATATTTTTTTACTTTGGTTTTTTTTTTTTTTTTTTTGGTGGATTATTGGCAAACATGTCCAACGATATCTGAAAAATCCACAAATTAAGAAAAAAATGGGTGCCAGTTTTTTAATACATTACAGCCCTCATTTCGAATTTTGAAATGGCCGCTGCAGAAAGCCGGTTTTTAACAAAATAATTGCAATTAAATCATCGCTATTCATTTATATATTATACAATACCGTATTCATTTTATTTTATCAGATATCATATAAAGAGATCAGTAAGGCATTAAGAAGAAAATAAGAGCACAAAAAATTACCCCCCCCCCCCACCAAAAAAATATATCAAAATACTTATTATGTATTAAACATGTGGTTAAACCCCTTTTCCCCAAGTTTTTAAATATTCAAAAATCTGTTTATCATAGTTTTGTTTTTGTCATATATGCTTTTTGTGTATTAGAAAAAACAGTACAACATATCAAAAATTGTGTGATCCCCATCTCGTGCCGGGCCCCTCCCCAACATTTTTTGTCGCATTAACAAATGAAGATAAAAAGAAAAGCATATTCAAATTTAGGCCTCAGACTTTGAGTGCCATTTCAGGCCATCTATTTGCCATAGTCATAACATTTTGTTCCTCAGTCTCAACAATGTTGGGGCAGGACGGATTTAGGGAGGGAAGCAGGGAATATGTGCCCTTCCCCCAGTTTTGTCACTGTCGTCTTTCATTTTTTTACCGAAAAATACAAAATGGCATACAAATACTAATGTTACAATATTTCTTAACAACATATATACTGAAAATCAATCATACTGTATAATAATAATCTTCTAGGCCTATATGAAATCGGTGCCCCCTCGTTTAAACAATCTTGATCTGCCCATTGTGGGATGGTGCCGTGAAAACTTCATCCATCCAAATCACTTCTACGAGATTTAAACTCTGGAGATAAACACTGGAAATCTCGCAAAAATTATGTGGTGGCATTCTAATTTAACACCTCAGACCTTATGGTCAAATGTGAAAAATGTGTGTGTTTCCAAGTAAATACCTCAAACAATACGGTATGTTCAATATTGGAATTTTTAGACATCTTTTAGCCAATTTTTGCAATTATAACTTTTCCAATTTTAACCTTTACATTTTAACATTTTATGATGTGCTGTATCGTGTTTTGAGGTGATTGTGTGGTTTTTTTTTTTTTTTTTTTTTTAGGATTGGCAGTTGACTGTTTTTTTT